GCAGGGGACACGGGTTCGTGCCCCGGTCCGGGAAGATCCCACATGCTGCGGAGTGGCTGGGCCCGTGAGCCATGGCCGCTGAGCCTGCGCGTCGGGAGCCTGTGCTCCACAACAGGAGAGGCCACAACAGTGAGAGGCCCGCGTACCACCAAAAAAAAAAAAAAAAAAGGAATCTCTTCCCTTCTCTGTGCTACTGGTCAAGGAGCCCAGAGATTCTCAATCTGATAGTTGTCAATTCAACAACTGAATTCGTAATAGATGCTCAATAAATGCTTGCTCAATAAATGGAAGGCTAGATGTGAGATGTATGTGGTAGTGAAGACTTGGGCCCTGTTTGGGACTGCTAGGTGGAAGCCAAGGGTCATCATGAAGGAGTCAGTGTTTCAGAGGGGAGAGGTGAACTTTTCATGTAGTCATACGATCAACTGAGCACCTATTACGTGCTAGGCACTGTCTTTGGAGCTGGGAGTGTAACCATGAACAAGGCAAAGTTCTTGCTTGCATAAAACTCGTATTTTCGTGGGGGAACAGACAAGGGTACTGCTCTGAGGAAAAATAAAGGAGGGTCAGGGGGCTGAGAGTAACAAGGTACTGTGTTAGGTAGTGTGGCCAAGGAAAGCCCCCTGCAGGGAGGGCATTTGGGCAGAGACCTGGGTGACCCGGGACAAGTGTTCTAGGCTGAAGGAACAGTAGGTACAAAGGCCCTGAGACAGGAGCCTGCAGGGCCAATAAAGAGGCCAGTGTGGCTGGAGTGAGGACTGTGAGGGGGAGAGAAGGACGAGATGAAGTCAGAGAGATCACAGAGCCCATGGCCCATCAAGTCCTTTTACCACAGAGAGAGATGGAAGCCAGGGCAGGGTCTGAAGCAGAGGAGTGACACAACCCGACTCTGGTTTCAAGTGGATCCCCTGTCTGGTGTGAAGATTCTAGTAGCTAGACTGTAAAGGCAGGGAGGCCTCCCTCACTTGGAAAAGCAGGAGAGGCTGGAAGGAGGAGCACAAGAGAAGTGAGAGAGGAAGCCCAGGGGTGGGAGTGGGGGGCGCAGATGGGATCCTAGGGGCGGGAAAGGCTGCTGCACCAGCAGCTGGAAGGCCCTGGGGCTTCCCTTTGCCCAGATGACTGATCTAGCCATGCTGTGATGTGGGGAGAGGCAGAAAGGAGGGGCAGGGTGGGGTTCCAATTGGGATGGTGGGGCATCTCCAGGAGGAATGGGGGCTGGAGGTGTGGAGAGCCCTGTGGCCAGCTTGTGCCTCTTGCTCCACCCCAGCAGAACATGGCTGCTCCTCAGACCTTCTCAGGCAGGTCCGCACTGCACTTGGGTGCCTGACCTTGCTGTTATTAGTGGAGTTTCTTATTGAGGGAAGAGTCAGGTGACCTTGAGTCCTTTACTCCCCCTCTCTAAACTTTTTAGTGAAAGAAGGGGTTTAACCTAGATGGTCTCCAACCAAGCCCCTTCTAGCATTTCTATTAATGGATGGAATCAGACACTGCATCTCCCCTACCTCTCTACTGCCACAGTGGTTTCAGGTTCCTGTCACGCCCTCTGTCTTTCCATCTCCCCAGGGCTCCCATGTACAGTGGTGCAGGGCATTCACCTCACAGGGGCACCCAGCCAAGGGAGTAAGTGGAGGCTCAAATCAAGCCCATAGTCTGCTCCACAAGCCATGTGCCCTGGCTGGCTCAGGGATGCATTTACCCAAAGTAAAGAAGGCCTTTTTCCAGCTTGTTCTGAGGTGCAGTATGGATAGCCCCCACTCCCCTGTCCCATGCTCACTCCATCTTCTGCTCCTCTGTGTTCCTTTTGTCTTACCGTCCCCAGCCTCAAACAGGGCAGATCTGAGGGCAGCATTTACACGACAGGCCTGGGGGAGGGCGGGGGGCAGCAGCTGCCTCATCTGTGAGCTCTGCCTCCCGAGCCCTGTGGTGCTTTTCCTCTCCTCACCAGTGCTGCGGGTTGCCTCTCGAAATTGCTCTGCTGCCATTAACACTGCACATTAGGTCAGATGAGAGTATGTTTGCAGTCTTGGATGGCAAAGACAAAACGCTGATGCTGATTATTCCAGATCTTCTGGACATGGCCCATTCTGTGCTCACAGTTTGTAATCAGAGGGACGAGCATTGGTTACAGGGTGGGGTGGGCAGAGCTGTGGTTGGCTCTAATCTGGTTGCCAGGCCCAGACAACACGTCTGCAGTGCCTGATGGCCTGCCGGCTGGCTTGCCTAAATATCACAGGTGACCTCAGTTACTTGACACTATCACATCCCTCGAAGAAGAAATGACCTCTCCAGTGTCAACACCATAGACTGCTTTTGAACCATCAGCAGTTCATTTGCGCGAGCACTGTGAGCATTTTGCTCTGGGCCTGATCAGCAAGTTTTGTGTTCTGCGGTCACTGGTTAGCTATGTAGCTATGGGGTGTCTGTCAGACCACCCCTCCTTCAGTGTCCCCTTCTGAAAAGCCTCTGTGCCCAGAGGAGGCCAAGGCCCATGACCTTGCATCATGGCCCCTCACCTTCTGGCCTCATATTCTATCTCTGCCACTTTCAACCTGTGCTCCAGCCACACTAGGATCCCCAAACATAGCTCTCTGGCCCTGAATCATGCTGGTCCCCTGCCAGGAGCACCTGTTCGGCCTTGTCTTCCAGGCAGAAGTTAGTTCATCATCCGTAGCAGCCACTGTCCTGTCTGTACCCTCACCTTTACCACTTCAGTGCACTCCAGCCCCACATCCAACTGTCAGCACCTGTACTTCTTTGCCTGATGCTTTCTCTGGCTTCTGGAACCTGCATTGCCACTTTGTGCTGGTCAGGCCAGAAGTGTCAGGGAATTAAAGCCCTCCAGAAGCGGCCCTCAGCCACTGAGCCAGTGACTGATGAAAGTTGGTGTATACATACCCCTGCTCCCTCGCCGCTCTGGTGGGCTAAGTGTGAGGTGTGTTTTGTATGGTCTCCTAGAGCTCCTCAGTGGGAATGAGCCTTAGTTGCCCACAGTGATAACTGGTTTGATAAACCACCCTTATAGGCTGCCTTCCTTACCTCACCTCCACACTCCCCACATAGCATTTCCTTAATCTCCCCAATAAACTGCTCACATTTAAATCTTTCTCTCAGGGTCTGCTTCTGAGGGAACCAAACAGACATCATCAATGTCCATCTCAGTGTCACCTCCTTTTTGCAGTTGCTCCTGACCCTCCCTTGTGCCCACTCCTGGGGTAGAGCTGTTGGTCACTCTTCTCTACTCTCTGGGCCCTTTATACCTACCTCAACAGCACTCCTCATGCTGCATTGTCATTTATTTTCTGCATGTCCTGGGGTCCCCACTGGCCTGGAACTCTTTGGGGACAGATACTATGTCCTTTTCACCTCTTTATTCTCTGAGCCTAACACAGCACCTGGCACAGAGATGGTGCCCAGTATAATTTTTTTTCCCCAAAGAGCCAGCCATGGAAATGCAATGACTGAGGGGGAACGGAGAGAAACAGACAAGTTCCAGAATTTTTCTAGAAAGAGAATCAGGGGATGCTGTCACATTACAAGGTTATGTGACCAGATGCTGTCACATTACAAGGTTATGTGGTAGAACTTCAGTCTCACCACTCACCTGCTTAATTACCTACAGTGGATCCCACCTGTTGTCCTCCTCAACTGGGCCTAATTTCATGGATGACTTTTAAGACCCTCCATCATCTGGCCCCATCCTAAGAGGCAGTCAAGGTTTGTTCAGTCAGGCTTTGGTCTCAATGGCTGGGGTTCAAATTCTCACTCTGCCAGTTCCCAGCTGGGTGATCATGGGCGAGTTACTTAGCTTCCCTGGGATAATAATACCTCATGCCTGTACTTATTTTGAGAATTTATAATCACGCATAGTCCTTGTGAATATATTTAAAACCACTGAATTGTACACAAGATGGTGGAATTTTGTAGTACGCAAATAATATCTTAAAAATTAAGCATGGTGTCTGGCCCAGGACAGTCTCTTCGAAAACGGAATGGTGGTTATCACTGTTACCAAGGAAGTTTTCCAAGGGGCCCTAGCACCTGGCAAGGCACAGGGCAGGTATTCTGTAAATACTGGTAGAATGAATGGATAACATATTCCACAAGTATGTCTGGAACATGTGTAGGACAGGTATGGGGTGGGGGGAGGGAACAGAGAGTCCAAGCCCAGTTTTGCATCCTTCAGAAAAGGAGGCCCGACTTATCCTGCAGAGAGGGTCTTAAGCCCAAACCGGAGAGTGGAGCCTTCTGACGCAGCAAGCCCCCACTGCCCTGGGCATCCCAGCGCCTTTGTTCTTGCTGTCGGGTCCCAGGTTGCAGAACACACTGCAGCCAATCCTGAGCCATGGGTAAAAGGAAAACACTTAACCCAGGCCGATGAATGTGTTCTTATTTATCTTTGACTCTGGCTGTATCTGATGTTCTGGGAATTGACTTCAAACAGAATCTCGAGGCGCCTGTTAAGGCCCAGCTGCCAAAGCCAGGCCCGCGGGGCGTGGCTTTTCCAGGGCCAGCCTCAGGCTCTAGGCCTCGCCAGGACCCCTCTCCGGGGCACAGGGGCGCGTCGTGTCCAAACGCCGGGCGGTGGGCGCGGAGGAGGTTTCAGCTCCGCAAGGGTGAGACTGAGGCTGAGGAGGGGTCGCTGGAGATTTCCTGGAGACGACCCTCTGTGCGAAGCCCTGGAGAGACGCCACAGCACACCCAGAAGGGCGAAACTGGGGCAGGGTGGGGCCGCAACGGGCCTGGCTGGGAGGGGGCCCGCCTGAGAGGTGCCTCAACTCTCTCCTCGCTCCCACGGCTGGGATCAGAGCCCAGCACACAGCAGGCGCCTACTTGGTGCAGGTTGCAGAGAACCCCCGGGGATCTCGGGCCGCCCTCTGTCTGGCTGGAGGAAGCTTCTAGACCTGGGGGCTGGTTAAGCCGTGTGGTCACGACGGGCCGGGGATGGGGAGGGCACTGTCGCGTGGCTTAGGTGGCTGACTCCGCGTGGCCAGGCCCGGCGAGAACCAGAGGCGGATGGGGGAGCGCCCATGCACCCACTCTGCCTAGGCCTAAGGACCCTCACTGGGAAACCGAGGCGGCTCCTCCAGACACCGGGGTCGGCCCCACATGCTTCCCCAGGAGATGTGTAATCTGTTTCTGGACTGAGACCTGCCCTCCGTTGGAGCGCACCCTCAGCAAAGATCCCCCCCTCCAAACCTCTGGTTGGGGGTTGCTGTCCCTTTTGCACAGGTCCCTCCCCACCCCCGCTCCGCATAGACCCTTCTCATACAGATGCCCCTTGGTTCACACATCCCTTTCCCTCCCCGGAGATGGAGACCCCTCAGGGAGGTGGGGAGTGGAGGGCGGGCGCAGACGGAGACGCGCACGGCCGAGAGCATCTCTAGCTGTCACTCCCCAGGCTCCCAGCATCTGGAGCCGCGTCTCCACGCCCGCCACACGCACAGAGATTCACATGCTCGCAGGGACACACTCACACTAGCGCGCAGACCCCGCCCGCGGCCCCGCCCCGGCCCCTGCGGGCGTCCCCTCCAGCGCTCGCGCACCCGGCGCGCAGCCCGCCCCGGGTGGCGGGAGGCGGCGGCTTCGGGCAGATTTGATTTTCCCGCAGCCCGGGAGCCCCGGAGCCAGAGCCCCAGCCGAGGAAGTGGCGCTCGCAGCCGCGTCCCCAACCCCGCCGCGGAGACCCAGCGAGAGGCGCCGCAGCCCCTGCGCTCCGGGCTCGCTCCGCGCTGCCTGAGTTCGGCCACCCCCGCAGCTCGCGCCCCATCCGGCCCCCCACACCCCTCTCCTTCTCCTGCACCCTTTCTGTCCCCGCCCCAAGCTCCCCGCCCCTCTCCCGGTGCCCCCTCCACGACTCCGCGCGTCCCTCCCGGTGCCCTCTCCCCGCGCTCCTCCGCCTCTCCCGGCTGCGCCTCAGCTCCCTTGTGCTCTTTGCGCTTCTCCGCTGGGCCCCCAGCCTCCTCGTCGCGTCACCCGCGCCCCCTCCTGTATCCTCTGCCCCCGCTCCCTCCGCCCCGCTTCCCTCTCTCACTTCCCACGCCCCCTCTTCGCTCTCCTCTTTCCTCCCTTTGCCGCCCAGCCCCGGCTCTGGAGTTGGGGGAGAGCCCAGGGTTTCGGTTGCTTCGGAGGAGGCGTGAATCGCGCAGGGATTTACTAATTTGGGGTGGAGGGCGCGGTGGGCTATGGAGCAGCCCGAGGACATGGCGTCGCTGAGCGAGTTCGACTCCTTGGCGGGCAGCATCCCGGCCACCAAGGTGGAGATCACCGTGTCCTGCAGGTGAGCCGCCCGCTGGCCCTGGCCCCCGGCCCCGCCCCTGGCCCCGGAGCCCCTGCGCCCCTTTGGCTCCGACCATCTACCTCCGTGCGCCCCCTTCCAGAGTGTCCTCTTCTCCAGGACGCCCCTTTGCCTTTCCTGCAAGAGCCCCTGCCCAGCCACGGGTGGCGACTGCGGAATGGGAAGCCAGGCTTAGGGTCGTATCCCAGAAAGTTTGCACTCTGGGCTGTTGTTGAGAGGAGAGGAGACACAGGAACGGGGGTCCAGACGCCCGTGTGGGGAGAGGGAGGGAGTGAAAGGACATAGCAGGGTCTTCACAGCAGTCTATTTCTGATCATCCCCTCCCCAAATCCAGAAGAGAATGATTTGCCTCATCCCTCCCAGGCGTGCCCAGCCTCTGCATTTTGTGCCCTCCTTCCCTCTCTTCTCCCCCCTCCTTTGCCCCAACACCCTCACCCTCTCCTCCCTTACCCATCCACCATTCTAGACCCCAGGATTTGAAAGCCTTTCTTCACCTCCAACAACAAAACTGACTCTCAGGAAAGGATCAGATTGACTCATTCATCCTGAGATGTGGACAATTGATAATGACTTAAAGTTGCACCATTAGAAAAACAATAACTGGGGGTGCAAAATCTTAAGCCAAAGGACTAGAACGATGAGTGTGGAATTTTAGAGTCCAGCAGGGGAGGGGGAGGAGAGTTTTTGTGGGCTGCCACCCCCAAATCCTCAGTCGTGTCACACAGGCTTTGGGAGTCACTTCTCCATCTAAGCTGGGTCTCCCCCAGGTTCTCCTATCTGAGAGGAAGGCTGCCCCAGGCAGTAAGGGATACAAGTGGGGAAGGGGGAATTTATCCCTAGTGCAGTCACCCTGTGGCTGGCCTAGGGTCACTGCCTTGCTGGGATTGTGAGGGGGCACTGTGGCCTACGCAGAGGCCACCTCTTGAGTTTCCACTGGAAATGCCATTCCCCTGCCCCAAGTGACCAACAGCATTTCCGGGGTCCTGGGTGTGCACTTGTTCCAAATCGCCCAGGCCTCTCTTTGATCAGACCTTTCACCCACCCTCATGGCACCCCAACCCTGTGTTCCCAAGTTGTGGCATTGGGGAGGTGTAGATGGAGCCAGGGGAACTGGGCTGGGATGTGAAAGAGGGAAGGACTTGGGGGGGGCTGCGGTTTAGGGTGAGTGGGAGTGAGGGCTGATGAAGTTGAACATAGCTGGCCCCTGCATCAGGCCCTTCTGGGGGCTCCTGTGGTAACCCCACATGTCTCCCCTATGGTCCTACATACGGTTTTGTCAGAATTATCTCCCAAGGCCATTTTGCATCTTGCCATTACTCTGCTGGGAGATTCCTGACTGCCCATTAGCTCCGGCCTCACCTCCTCAGCCATCCACAGCTGCCCCAGCCTGTCCTCCCTTCCCTGCTGGTGCATAGCCCTGCGCCAGATGCTCCTTCCCAGCCTTCAGTCATGCCTGTGTCGGAGCTGTCTCGGGAGGCTTTTCACCTCAGAGCCTCTGAACAGCACAATCTCCATCCATATCTCACCCTGCCTTCATCTCTGCCAGTTTGTGTCCCCCCATCCTGAAAAGCCCGGCCTCGTGCTCCCCACTTCCAGCCATCCTTCTCACCCTTGAGAGACACGCAGCCCAAATCACTGCCTTCTGTGTTCCCTGGGTCCTGAGCACTCAGCCTGGGCCACCGGGTCTCTCACATATTGAGCACAAAACCTCTGAAGACATCTCAGGTGTGTAGACTTCATTCCTCTTCCCCCAAAGCAACTTTGTAAGCATTTGAGGGCAGCGATCCCCACCCTGACTCAGACCCACGAACCCAGAGGAGGCAGAGGGCACAGGGCATTGTGGCTTTGGAATCAGATACTTTAAAATGGAATCTGCTCCACCACTTGGGGCAAACTTTTAGCCTCGCTTTCCCCCATTTGTCAAGTGCAAACAACGAACCTGTTATTCGTGGAGAAACCTTATTCACAGAGGTACCCCTCATGCTTGGAAGCATGGCTGGCATGTAGTAGGTCCTCACCGAATACTGTTGGAGGACTTAATTTACAGGAGTAGAGGATCATGAAGCATCCAGCATGCTGCTTTGCACTTGCTTCGCACACAGTAGGTGCTCAATAAATAATTACAGTGATTATTGTAAGGCAGTAGCACTTGGCCCCTCCTGTTTGCTCTCTGGAAGCAGAGGTGTCCAAAGACTCAAACCTTTTGCCTAAGCAGTACCTAGGGATGCAGTTGAGTTCCTGGGGGATGTGATTCTGGGATCAACCCTGGTGTTCATTCCCTTTCATGGGACATCAACCTGAGAAGGGCATGACCCAGGCTCTGCTCCTGCCCTCCCAAAAGCCAGAGAGTGGGGAATAATGAGTTTTGGTAGGAAGGGGTGAGGAGGGAGGAGTCACCTGGAACGGAAGGGAGGCAAGAAAACAATGTGGATAAACTTGAAATTGTAAATCCATCTCTTTGCCTCAACCAGGTCTAACTATCCAGTTTCTAGAACAGATCGAGAGAGGGAGAGAGAGAAAAGGAAAAGGAGGCAAGGAGGAGGAGGATGGGGAGGAGGGAGAGCTGCACAGAATGGCTTTCTCCAGCATATTCTATACTCCATGGCCACCAGTTAATGAGAGCCAAGGCCTCCTCCCCTGCATCTCATGGTCAGCATTCACTGAGCCCGGGGGAGGAGGCTACAGGGTGCCCCTGCCCAGAGCATCTAGGTGACACCTGCTGGTGGGCAGGGAATAGTAGGGCAGGCAGAGGGGTTGGTGGACTGAGAGCTCCAGGGGGCTTCAGAATGGGCAGCTGGGGATGAGGGGTCCAGTGTTTCAAAGGAACTGGAAACTAGCATTCCTGGGAGCTAGTTCCCTTCCCTTCTGCTCCTTAGGAAGGTCCCTGCCATCCCCTGCAGCCCTAGGAGGTCTCTGCTGTTGCCTAGGGGAGGACCTGACCCCCACCATGCCTATCCTAGGACACTCCTAGCTGAGCAAAGCTGCCTGGCACAGGGGCATGTCTGAGCCCTAGCACAGGACCACAGCAGAGGCCCATCCAAGCCTCTGCTGAAGGCAGGTGACACTGTGGGATGGATGTGTTTGGGCCCCGCTTCTTTGTGTTGGGTGTCTCCTGGGCTAATCTATAGTCTACTCCCAAACAATTGTTTTCACTGATTTTGGTAAACTCGGGCCAAAGATTTTAAAGCCTCTGGTTGTCTGGCTCAATGCTTGTAAGAACATGAGTCTATGGGGTCTGTCTACCTGGGTTCAAATCCCTGTGATTTTGGGTAAAGCACTTAACTTGGGCTGTGGTTTCCTCACCTGTAAAGTAAGTGTAATAATCCTTATCACAGTAGAAGGATTAAATGGACTAAGCCATGAATAGTAATTTATGTTGCCTATTATTTGACACCTGAAAGTAAATAAAAATCTGTCTCTATAGCTGGTTTGTGTGGGTTCTGGAGATCTGATCCATCTAGAAAGTTCTATTTCCCCCCACCCCCAGCTTTATTGACATATATTTGACATACTATGTACATTTAGAGATTCTGAGGGGTTGTTTGGGGAGTAAGGTAGATGGTTTGTGAAACCAGATTCCAGCAGGCATCGTAGAAAGTGTGAGCCACGAGCTTCTCTTTTCTCTGTTGGTCTGTTCCAGACCTTTCCTGACTTTATTAGCCTCCCTGCAGACCCAGTCAAAACTCACCTGTCCAGTGTCCTGTTCCCAAGGGCCCCACTATTTCTCTATGCCTCGTCTGATGCAGGGGTCCAGACCAGCGTGTTGGTTAGAAAGAGCAATTTGCATTTTTTATGTAACAGGAAACCTGTGCACTTCCGCGGGGTCTTGCTGGCAGAACCACTGAACGATTCTACATGGCGGGGCTCCAGAGACCCACAGGGAAGGCAAGGAGGGGACAGTCCAGAGGCAGGTGGTGGCTTAGCCCTGCTGGGATCTCTCAAGCAGCTGCCCTCTCCCCTCCAGCTGACGTGGGGCTGGTGGGCAGCTGTTGCCTCTGCCCCAGAGATGTTGTTTTCTGCTGTCTGTTCAGGTTGGCGTTTTGGAGAGGCAGCCTAGCTCAAGAGCTGTGCCCTCAGCCTCTCAGAAGGGGTGTGAATGGGCTCAGAACACTGTCTTCTGACAGGCAGGGGGAGGGTGGCTTTGGGGGAAGGAGGAGCCTGGGGGCAGTGTGGCAGCTGTTAGAGCCATTGCTAGGAAAAAGAGGTCTATTCAGCCACTGACTACATTAAGATACTGTTTAGTGGAGCCAGAGGAATAAAAACAGTGGGATTTATTGAGTGCTTACTACATGCCGGGCATTAACATCTGTACTAGGCTGAACCATATGCAATTGCCTGTACTCAGCTGTTTTTAACCTACTCAAATAGCAATTTGGTACAAACTCAGACTATTATATTAGTTTTCAATTGCTGCATAACAAATCACCATAGTCCTAGAGCTTAAAACAACAGCCATTTATTATCTCACAGTTTCTGTAGGTCAGAAGCCCAGGCACAGCACAGCTGACTTGTCTGCTCTGGGTCTCTCCAAGCTGAAATCAAGGTGCCTGCAGGGGCTATGATCTCATCTGAGGCTTGGGGTCTAAGCCAAGCTCATTTAGGTTGCTGGCAGAGTTTAATTCCTTGCAGCTGTAAGGTTAAAGTCCTGTGTTCTTTTTGGTTGTTGGTTTGGGGCTCTTAGCTCCTACAGGCTGCCCTCAGGTCCAGCCACGTGGGCCTCTCACAACATGGCAGCTTCCCTCTTCAAAGCCAGCGGGATAATCTCTCCAGAGTCTGCTACTTGATATAAAGTAACAGAAGTGAGTATCCTATCATATTCCCAGGTCCCACTCACACTCAAGGGGAAGGGATTGTGCAGGCTTGCCCACCGGGGGTGGGAATCGCAGGGACCATCTTAGATTTCTGCCTACCACAATTACTGCATCTTTTTTAACCTTACGACAATCCTGTGAACTAGGAAAATACTAGTAGTATTTTCCCCT